GATCCTATGAGACCCACCCACACCCATGTGTGTAGGATCTCAAAGGATCACCATTAAATTTGGTACAGATCTCTAAAAAGGTTATCAAATGGGTGTGGGACTTGACTTTTCTAGAGATCTGTGTCATATATATATATAACTCTTCTCAATGCTTATAGGCTAAAAAGAACAGTGATTTTGCCTATATTCATCACTGTCCAAAGTTCATCGCACGGTCATGATTGTCCGGTAGTGTTTAATTTTTTCTTTTTATAAATCGAAATGATCTGAAATTTGGAATATGTGTACATATTAGTGAGGCGCACCTAATAAAAATATGAAAAAATATTTTGTAAAATATAAATTTACCAAAATACCCTCATAAATTTCAAAGGTATTTGGTCAATTTATATTCTGTAAATTATTTTTTTATATTTTTATTAGATTCTCCTGTTTTTGATGAACACACATTTCAATTTTAGACCATTCCGATTGTAGAAAAAAAAAAAGAAAAATAAAACTCTATCAGACAAACGTGACCATGCGATGAACTTTGAATGTTGATGAACATAGGTGAAATCACTGTTCATTTTTTTCGCCTATAGGGGTTGCATAGTATTTTCATATATATATATATATATAGATGAGCTCAAGGCTAGGTGGTCTGGTGATGGTGGGGTGCCGCAACATTACATCTTGAGTTTCATTCCTACTACGTAGTGGTGCCTCTCTCATGTTAAATTACCCATTAAAAAGAAAAAAGAAAAGAAGATAAAAGACATGCCTCCTTGCTAACTTATATATTAAGAATAAAGATATGCATAGTACATTGTCGAAGTGGAAAAGGTTGAAGAGACTCGAAATAGATGTTGGTTTCAAGAAGATAAAAAGAGGTGGCGAAAACCACTGTAGTATCGATATATCGCCAAAGAAAGATAGAGAAACAATACTTGTGATCCATAACCATCAGTTGACAAATAATTTGAAAAAGTGAGAAGATTGAAGTGTTTACAAGAAATGGAATGTGAGGATTTACTGTATAAACTATTTAAAATGATCAAAAGTCTAAAGTTATCTTCCTCTGTCTGGTTCACTTATTCTCTCCCAAAAACATGAAAATCCTTGTAGCACTCCTAAAATTCCTACATATCCCGCAAAGGATATCTTTTAGAATCTCCAAGAATTTCTCATTCACTTTCCAAAATTAATGGGAATCTTTATCATCTTAGTAGACATAAATTATTTAATATTAAAATTGAAAAGTATCTCTATCTATCTTTAATGCATCAATTTTAGGAAGGGTAAACAATATAAAAATTTGTTTTTATTTCATTTGCTCAGGATAATGTTTGCTTCTAAACGACATGATTGTTTCCATTAATTTTCAAATAAAGTATGACTCTATTTAAAAGATTACTAACATTTTGTTATTATAATAAAACAGTGAAATATAATAAACTTAGCATATGAGTATTGGATATAAGAATAGCATAGATAAATTTATTTTGTAAGAATTTATATTGACAATAGATTTTGAGAAAATTGTAAGAATTTTTTTCCCCAAAATTACATGTTATGCTAAAATTTGGAGGTGTGCTTTAATTGGATTGTTTAAGTTTGCACACCCTATGGTATATATAGTATATCGTATATATATAAAGCAAATCTATTTTTCATATTGGATGATAAATATATTTAGAAAAAATTACAAAAAAACCCTAAGGCTACATTTTTTATGCAACTTACCCAACCTAACTTTGTTTCTCACTTTTTTTCCCAATATATACTTTCATACAAATACCCCCAAACCAAAAAAAATCCATAAACTACTCTACCTTACTTTTTACCTTACCCACGCATCTCTCCCCTCTATCCTACCAAAATGTGGGCTCCGATACTGTGTAAATGTGGTTTGGCAGTAGCGGTTCGGCACTATGCAAGGTGCGGTCTGGTAGTAGGGCTCAGGTAACGTATAAAGTGAGTTCAGACAGTAGGGCTCTGGAACTTTGTAAAATGCGGTCCGATAATAGAAAGCTACACTCCCTCTCTCACAACACCATCGTGTCCTCTCCACCTCGGAACACTGGCCGTAAGGGGCATCCCCTTAGGCCTTTGCCACATTATGAGAATTAGGGCTTTTCTCTCTCCCCCAGCATCCTTCCAGGCCTGCAAATTCCCCTTGAACTCGAAACCCCCCTTTTCTCTTTCCTTCATGTCCACTCGCACGATCAACGATGTCCTGATGGCTGGTGCACGCGCAGCCAAGGACAAGAAAGGTCGACCTCCATTAAAGCACACAGCTATTGAAAACGCCAAAAAGGAAGTGGCCTCAAAAGAACAAGAACCCTCTGTGGAAACTGAAGAATTCAATTTAGATGACAAAATTTCAGAGCTCTTAAAGAAAGCCATTGATTTCAAGCCAGAGAGAGCTGCTTTTTGGAAGAGTGGAGAGAGAGTCCCTTTTATTTTACTTGCCCGGGCTCTCGATTTGATAGCGAATGAGTCAGGGAGAATCGCCATTACTGAGATTCTTTGCAATGTTTTTAGAACTGTGATTGCTACGACCCCTGATGACCTAATTCATGTGGTTTATTTGGCTGCTAACAAGATTGCTCCTGCTCATGAAGGAGTGGAGCTTGGAATTGGAGATGCTTCCATCATCAAGGCTCTTGCTCTGTCTTATGGGATGAAGGATGAGACAGTCAAGAAACAGTTCAATGTGAGGATTGCATAAGGCATTTAATATGAATTTAATGGGCTTGTAGCGTTAGGTTGTGTATTTTTGTTTTCTGTCTTCATTGGAGGCTTTGAATTTCATTCTGTGATGGAGCCCTTTTTTTGTTCTTGCATTGGTTGGTTCATATGTTGAATGTTGTTGATTTTTTTATTTTTTGTTTATCTTTGATTTTTTCGTTCAATTTCTTAAACAAGGTTCAGTCTTGTGATCGACCACTCTGTAGTCTGTGTTCTTTTTGTTTGTTTGTTTGTTTGCTTGCTTGTATTGCTCGGTGAATAAAGCATGTAGCAACATCAGCTGCGTTAGGAGTAAAGAGCATTTCTAGCCCCAATGATGCATTTTCTTTAGTATGTAATATCTAAATAACAAATCTTCTATGCTTCTGCAGTAAGTCACTACTAAACTTGTTCAAGTCAAGACGAAAATGGTATACCTTGATCAATTTTGTGATTGTCATGTCTGGACTTCTGGTCTTAATTTCAAATACCGATAAGAGTGTACTATTACAGTTTCTGCTTAGTTTAATTGGGGTTTTTTCCAACAATGGTTGCTAGAAATTGGTTGGTTATGTGGAAACTGGGAATTCTTCCACCACAGCATGGCTCTTTTATGTTTCTCAAGTTGGATTAAAATTTCATTTTGTTTAATTTACTTTCTCTTTATGAAATTAGGCAATCTCATCCTATATGAGGATCCAACTGATCAGCTTGAGATGAAACGGAACCAACAGATGTGAAGCCAGTGTATTAGTAAATCCATATGGTGAGAATTTGATTAGCATGCAAAGGATAAAATTACGTTAGTTACTACTCGTGATGTTGAATTACATGGGTATCTTAGTCTGTCATGACAATAGAGTAGTGTCAATTTTTCAATGTACAGAGAATATTTTACGTAAAGCTTTAGATGATGAAGGAGTCGTCCCTTATCCAATTAAGGTTCTTCTTTCATTTACAGAGGATTTGACCTTCTTACGGGCACCTTATCTTTCGTCAGATCATGTTCTGATCTAGCTCGCCAGAATCTTTGTGAAGTTGTACAACTATTAATTTTTCCAAAACTACCATGTTCTCATTCAGCTGGTTCATAATAAATCATAGTGAGTAACACTGTATTCCTTATGATTATTACGGTGTGGAACCTCAACTTTTTTTTTTGTCAAGAGAATAATAGCAAGCTCTCTATGGTTCTTCATTTGATCAATGAGGCTTCTCAAAGTTACTTTGGATGCTTTTGGGGATTGAGGTAGGGCAATAGTCTCTTTCCTTTTCTATCCGCTATTTTGGTTCAAGGGGTTCAGGGCTTTCATTATATTAGCAGACAAGGAAATCTTCCTTTGATTTGGTTAGTTGCTTTAACGTTGCTGGGGAAAGGTATTATTTCCACCTTCGTATGCCGCTCTTATCTTTTTGTGCTTCTAAGGAAGTGTAAATGGAAAATTTGTGAACTCTTGTGTTTGGAGGTGCTTTCAGCGCTTCACATCTATCTCAAGCAAGGAATGATGATGAGACTGAATGTGGAAATGTGCAGAGTGAAAAGTTTGGCAAGTACCCCTTGGTTGAAAGATATTTTATATTTGTACTTTGCAATGAACACTTCGTAATAGAAAGATTCGAGTGACTGATTGCTCCTTGGAACTGGCATTTCCTTTCTTTGTGAGGAAGGTTTACTATTATTGAAGCCACTCTTTCTATTCGTCCTATTTACTTTTATGTCATTGCATCATATGCCACTTTTGATTGTAGATAAATTGAAAATGATACAGAAGTTCTTAAGGAATGGAGGTAATGCTTCCCATAGTTATCATTGGATCAAATGGGGGGAGGTCTGGATGTCCAAATTGTGGGGAGAAAACTTTATTGGATGAATGACAACCATGACAAGGTAGAGGAAGTTGAGGGCTTGTGGTGAGATTTCATTCATAAGAATTATAGTGGATGACCATGAAGCTTGTTAGTTCATCTATATCTTGTATGGCGATATCATCCTTATGGAAAGCAGTTTGGGAGATGGGTAGTTGGAAAATGGTTTGAATTTTTACCTAGTTATGGGACCCAATCTTTTTGGGATAGCTCAAAGACTTACCATTTACCAGTGGCATTCTTAGAGTTGTCTAATGTAGCCTTGATCTTGAGACTCATGATTAGAGATTGCTATTAGAGGGTTGGTGAAAGTGATTTGGAGTCCTAGATTTAGGAAAGGATCAAGGAAAGGTAGCCATTCAATATGTGAACCTGCTTAGGGCATGGAAGGAGATGCATATGCCCAGGGGGAAGGGAGGATTAGAGCAAGGTTATCATATGAGGAATATAGTTGGAGGTGCTAGGGGCATCCGATGCACCATGTGCCTCGATGCAGCTTCAATGTGGGCATATCACTCCTAATGCAGGCAAAATAAAAGAAAAAAGAAAAAAGAAAGTTTTTAAAATATAGAATTATATGGCAATGAATAAAATTATTCTGTGATTTATGTGATAGTTGGCATCAATGATGAAAAATTCGCTTGCCCAGGCGCCTAGGTAGCCAAGGGCTCTGGGCGCATTGCTTGGGGGTAGGTTGGTGCGCAGGATGGTCATTACACTAGGGCCTTGCCTTTTGCCCAATTCGGGTGTCAACGGGGGCCAAAAAACGGATGCCTGCTTAAATGCTAGAGAGATGGATTTGCTTGCATGCCATATAGAGAGCAAGAGCCTCCTCAGATGTCAACCATGCAAGAGTTAAGAGGCTTGCTAAAATTCTAAAGAGAGAGATAGAGCTCCTACAAGAATCGAGAAGCACACACAAGTGCTAGAGAGAGAAATAGTAATTGAGATATAGTGCGAAGTTGATACAATGTTTAATGATTACTTGGTTGACTTAATGATTACTTGGTGAGAGAGAGAGAGAGAGAGAGAGAGAGAGAGAGAGAGAGAGAGAGAGAGAGAGAGAGAGAGAGAGTAGAGTAGTAGTA